TCTATAAAAATCAATGGAAAAAATATCCTTGGTGAGGATTAACAACAACAACATAAATTTTACTTTGAGAGTATTGTAGAATCACAGAGTTGTAAGAAATAACACAAACATATCCTGTGTACCATTCACATAACTTCCCCCAATGATAACATCTTACAAAACTATAGTACAAATATCACAATCAAGATATTCCTATTGGTACAACCTCCAACCTTACTCAGATTTCTCCGAGTGTACTTCTGCTTATACTTGGGTATTTAGTTGAATGCAATTTTATCCACAGTCAAGATACAGAACAGTTACCATCATAAGAATCTCCTGAGTGGTCCTTTTACAGTCACACCCATCGACCTGCGACCTCAGTCAAAACCTCTAGCAAGCACTAATCTGTGTTTCACATCTAAAACTTTGTCATTTCAGAAATTCAGTTCTTTTTATCACATAACATGGTTATACCAGTTTGTTTAACTACTGAACTGTGCAAGAACATCTTGGTTGTTTCCAGTTTGGGGCTAATAGGAATACAGCTGCTGTGAACATTTGTGTACAACAGTTTTGGCATGAACTAAAGCTTTCCCTTTTTTGGCATAAATGTTCATGATCACAATTGCTGAATTGTATTGTACTACATGTTCAGTTTTACAATAAATTGCCAAATTGCTTTCTTGACTGGCTGTATTATTTTACTTTACATTTACATGAGAAATAGATGACAGAGTTTCTGTGCATCCTAGCTATATGTCACTATGTTTTTACTTTAACCAATTTGATATATGTGTGATACACATGATTGTGTGCTTTCATTCCTTTACTTTTAATCTTCAGCATTACAATCAAATTAGCTTTCTTGCACACTGCATATAATGGAGTGTTTTTTTTGAATTTTATAATTTTATTTTATTATTTTATCATTTTTATTTTATTTTATTATTTTATATTTTATTTTATTTTATTATTTTATATTTTATTTTATTTTATTTTTTATTTTATATTATATTTTATTTTATTATTTTATTTTATTTTATTTTTTTATTTTGACTTCAGAGAGAGGAAGGGAGAGGGAGAGAGAGAGAAAAATATCAAAGATGAGAGTCCTCCTGCTAGGGATTGAGCCTGAAGCCAGTGCATGTGCCCTTACCAGAAATCGAACCACTGAGCAATGCCAGCCAGGCTGGAGTTTTTTTTAATTTCATCTGACAACCTATGTTCTTTAAACTGAATCAATTTACAATTTATATTACTGCTGACATAATTGAATTTAGGCATATCATTCTATATATCAGGAGTTTTTCTTTTTTGGATTAAATATATTTTAGTATTCTATTTCAGCGCATCTATTGGCATTTTGCCTATGTATCTCTTTGTATTTTTAATAGTTGCTCTATGAATTATTATATATATTCATTACTTATGATGCAGAGTTTATGTATTTTGCCATTCACATACCACAGAGAAGTCTCACAGCTATGCAATGGCCTTTATTTTTATCCATTTATGTTACAATTGTTAAATGTATTATGTTGAGATATACTGGATGACTTCTTTACTCATTGTTATTTTTGTTTTCAATATTTATACACATATAAAGTATTAATTTTACTTTGGGGTTATTGTAGAATCACTGAGTTTTAAGAAATAACACAAACATATCCTGTGTGCCATTCACACAATTTCCCTAAATGGTAGCATCTTACAAAACTGTAGTACAAATATCACAATCAAGATACTACTATTGGTATCAGAGAAGAGAAATAGGGTACTGTAAGTACCCAGTATTTCACATTTTTGTTGCTCTTCCTTTAATCTTGACATTCCAAGTTTCCCTACTAAGTTTCACCTTTTCATCAGAACTTCATTTTTCTTTTTCAGCATTAGAAAAAAGCTTTATTTAAAAACAACTTTTGAAAAAAATTTTCACCAGAGGATACTTTTTCCATTGCTTTTCAGAGAGAGTGGAAAGGGAGAGAGAGAGGGAGGATGAATCAAAGTTCTCGCACGTGCTCCAACCGGGGTCACAGATCAAGGTACGTGCCCTTGGCTGGAAGAGAACCCGGGACCCTTCAGTCCGCAGGTCAATGTTCTAATCACTGAGCCAAACCAAGTAGGGCAGAACTTTCTTTAAAATTTCTCTTATAGCACAGTTGACTGGGAAGAAATTCTTCATACACTTTTCCTTGCACTATTTCCATTTCACTATGGAAGAATATTTTCACTGCATAGAAAATGTTGCGCTACTGTTTTTCTTTTGTTTCCTATGCCTTTAGTGTCATGCTAAGAATCACTCTGAATCCCAAGTCATGAAGCTATCACCCTGTTTTCTTCTGAAAGTTTTCTCTCTAGCCTTAGCCAGCGTGGCTCAGTGGGTTGGATATTGTCCCATGCACAGAAAGGTTGCCCGTTCTAACTCCTGATCAGGGCACATACCCAGGTTTGGGGTTCAATCCCGAACAGGGGTGTGTGCAGGAGGCAGCTGATTGATGTTTCTATCTCTTCCTCTTCCTTCCACTCTCTCTAAAACAAAAAATATTAAAAATTTTTCTCTCTCTAATGTTTAGGTACCTGAACCATTTTGGGTCAACATTAATATATAAGGTGTGAGGTCCAGATCTGATGGTGAAAGACTGATAGCATTTCTCTAAGATCAGCAATAAGGAAAAGATGCTACTTTCATGACATTCATCTACACTGCACTGCAAGTTCTGGCCAGGACACAGACAACAGAAAGAAATAAAGGAATACAAACTGAAAATCCTAAACATTCCATTAAACACTTAAAATTCAGCAAACCTGCAGACAAAAAGCAACACATAAACGTCAGTACGGGTGCTATTATTTAATGCACAAAGAGTTTCAATTTAGGAAGATGAAAAATGCAAACGTACTTAATGCCACTGAACTGTACACCTAAAACACTGAAAATGGTGAATTTTTACTTTATCATTTCACCACAATAAGAAAATAGTGAACTGGAGTAGAAACCTGAGGGAAAAAATAGGGAAAAGGGCTTCATCAAAACTTAAAATTCTGGGGTGGGGTTCATACCCCTCCTCTAGAGCATGTCTGTATCTTCTCTCTCAGGCACATACCTTTACTTTCTTTCTCCTAAGCATTAAGGGCCTTTCTTTTTCCTCTGCAACTCATTTCCTAAGTCCATGCAGCCCAGCTGGCTCACATTTACCTCTGTAACTTTCTCAATAAATTTCTGCTTGTATTTAAGAAAAAGAAAATAAAAATTTTGTGCAAAGGGCACTTCCAAGAGAGTAAAAATAACCACCCACAGAAAGAAAATGTCAATAATGTATCTATAAGAACCTAGTATAATGAATACAAAAAGAATTCTTACAACAAAAAAGATGATGTGGGAAGTACTTGTATATTCCCTCAAAAAACCAAACCAAACCAAACCAAAAACCCCCCACACCTAAGCAAATGGACAATAAACACATGAAAAGATGCTCAATATTACCATTCATTAGAGCATTGCAAATTAAAACCACAATGAGATACACTTTATAACAAAACAACAACAAAAAACCAAAGAACATTTTGAGTGGTATGATGTTGAAAATGTCCACCAATGAATGAATAACCAAAATGTGAAGTTATCTATTTAATGAAATATAATTTGGTATGAAATGAAATTCTGACACATGGACATACACTGAAAACATGGTTAAGTGAAATAAGCTAAACCTAAAATTCGATGTTTCTTATTAAATTTATAAGAATTATTCAAAATAGGCAAATCTGTATAGAAAATGCTGACTTTTTATTGCCAGTGTCAGAAAAAGGGGAGACGGAATGACTTTAACAGACACAGAGATTTCTTTTTGGGTGACAAAATATTCTGGAAGTGGTGATGACAAATATTTTCAATGTACTAAGCGCCTCTGCATTGTACACTGTTAAATGGTTACAGTAATGAGTTCTATGTTATATAAATGTTACCAAAAAGAAAAAAAACTTATTAAGAGCATATTATGTGTCTAGAGTATAAATAATACAACAGTGCTAGACAAATTGTGGGCTCCATCATTGTATGAAGAGAATGACTGAAAAACCTCCATAAATATACATTTAAATTAAAGAAATTATAGTATAGTACATTTAAATACAAACATAATTCAGAAGCAAAACTATAAATACATATTTAACTCTCTATGTAGATACATATACAGATAGATACATCCACATATATAGTTTTGCTACCTAATTATAACTATACATACATACAAATAATTGAAGATTTTTAAGATAAAATTTCGAAGTATATTTAATACAGTGATTTGAAAGAACAAAAAAACAAATGTTAGGCATGGAGGAGGGTGGGTAGGTGGAGGGGGAGAGAGTAACCAAAGAATTTATATGCATATATGCACAACCCAAGGAAATGGCCAATGGTGGGGCGAGGGACTGGGGAGTGGGAAGGGATGGGGTGGATGGGTCATTGGGGAGAAAAAGGGACATCTGTAATATTTTAAACAAAAATAAAATTTAAAAAAAAATGGTGAGGGTGGGGAACTATGAAATTATAATGTAAATAAATCCTGTTTATTTTGGAAATAAAGTAAAATAAAAGTAAAGAAAGAAAAAACAAAAACAAAAAATCACACAAATGTTGACTAGAATATTGGAAAAAGTCTAACTGAGTTAAAGACAGAATAAAAAATATACCAAATAAGAAAAAAGAAGTACCAAAACAGATAGAGGAGAGAGAGGTATTTACCAGGTGATGGTACTGAAAGAGGAACGATATATATCTGGAAAGAGACATTATATGTCAAATCACTCTTATGATCTCGGCTGATTAACTTGTGAAATACAGAAGTTTATAGAAAAATAACGGGTGTCATATACTATAAAAATTCCTGATTCTCAAAATAAACCTAAGTGATGTGCTAATACAGGGTGGGGCAAAAGTGGGTTTAAAGTTGTGAGTTTGCTACCCTGGCCCGTTTGGCTCAGTTGGTTGGGCGTTATCCAGGTACAGGAAAGGTTGCCAGTCTGATTTCCCGGTCAGGGCGCATACCTAGGTTTCAGCTCAATTCCCAGTAGTGGGTGTGCAGGAGGCAGGTGAGTGATGTTTCTCTTTCATATCTCTCTTTCTCTCTTGCACTTCCTTCCTCTCTCTCTAAAAATCAATAAGCTATCCTTTAAAAAAATGTGAGTATGCAAAACAGTTTATTCTTCTAAAATTATTTTTTAATTATTGTATTACTTTACATACAAACAACTGTAAATCTACTTTTTCCACACCTTGTATTTCTATATATTAACACACTACACATACACGTGGGGTACTACCCTGACTGAAACAAAGAGAATGACTCAGAAGTCACATTATCCCTTTTACCACCTTCAATATATGTAGGAGGTATTTTGCTCGAAGAATTCCAAACCACTAAGGACTATATAGCCTTTTCTACACAAAAAAAGACTGCTGTGTGGTTAGGCACTTAGTAGGCCTTGATAAAATTAGTGAAAGGGGAAACCAGAATAAGTAATTAAGTTTTTTACAACCTAAAAATGGACCAAATTTTAATGGTCATTTGAGAAGGATGTTATGAAACAATACGATTACTTATAAACTTAGAGAAATAAAGGAAAATGGCACTTATCCTAGATTCCTTATTTATTTAAATATTAAGGTTTCTTCAGATTTGTGTATACTAATTGATGAAGGCAAGTTTCCCTTATAGACCCAATCTAGTTAATAAATAATCAATGATAAAATTAGAATACTGCCATTTTGTAACCATAATGAAATAATGGACTTGGCCAATAATGACTAAATGACTCTTATTACCACCTATGAAGAAGTTTTGGCCACTGCAAATAAGAAATAATACCTGAATCTGATCAAGCCTCTTGAACACTCATGGGCTAAGTAAACTACAGCCCACAAACCAAATTCAGCCCATTGCCTATGTATCAACCAATAGCTTAGAATAATTTTATATACATTTATTTATTATTATTTTTTTGTATCTTCAGCTGAGGATTTTTTTAGAGAGATGAAGGGACACAAAGAGAGAAACATCGATCAGTTGCCTCCAGTGGGAGCTCTGAACAGGACTGAACCTGCAACCAAGGTATGTGCCTTTATTGGGAATCGAACCTGAAACCTACTGGTGCACAGGACTATGCTCCAATCAACTGAGCCACTGGGTCAGGAAATAATGGTTTTAGGTATATTTAAATGATTGAAAAATTCAAAATAACAGTATTTCACGACATATAAAAACAATATAAAATTCTGATTTCATTGTCTATGTACAACTTTATCAAAAGAGCCACATTCCATTATTTACATATTGTTTATGGCTGCTTTGTTGTTATGATAGCAAAGCTGACTAGTTATGACAGATCATATGACCTGTAAACCTAAAAAATATAGGAACAGAGGAAAACAAAAAAATATTAAAAACAGCAAAGGCATACAATTAGCAAAATCCAGACTGTGATATCTCCTCCTATTGTGGCAACAATAAAGAAAAAAATGACCAAGAAAAACAGAATGCTATGAAATACTAAATGATTAGTGTAGTATATTTTGGAAGTTTAAAATTAGTACATAGAGATTTTTATAAAACGAAAATTATCAACCACTCATAATTTACCTGAACTGTTTCCAAAATCCTCTGGGTACATAGTATTGTAGTTGTGAAGCTGCTAAATGACCAAAGATGACCTGCAGGTGTCTGAGGACACCAATATTGTATTCTTTCCTGTCTTCTGTCTTATTTAATGCTGGTTTGTATTCAAATTGATGAGGATATCCAAATACATCATCTCGAGGATCAACATTACTCTAGAGAACCAAAAAACATCATCGATGAGCTAATCTAACTTAAAAAGTATCGTGAAGTTGAGAAAAATAGTGAATAAATGATTTGCATTATTTTATATTTTGTCTATCTATAGCACATAACTTTAATTTTATAATATTAGTGCTTATACCCACAATTTCACAGAAGAGTTATCACAAGAAGATCATAAAAAAATAATACTGAACATTCATCAGAGGCTGTATAATATGAAAAAGGTATAGTTGAGTAGATTGAACTGGTGACAAATGAATGCTTTGCAATATGTAACTTTGGGTAAATAAATTACTTAGCCTTTTTAGGATTCAATTTCTTCTTGTAGAAATAACACATTCTTTATAGGTTATATGAGATAATTATGTGACATGATCAGAGTTACTAATATTCAATAAATAGCAATTAATAATATGTCTGCGTAGAAACAGTCACAGACAAAAGCTTTAAAGGTAACAATCACTTTACAAACAAAGTTTAGGTGCTTTACAGAGAACTGAACATCTTTCTATATTCTTTGCTCCATTTCTGAGGCTTATGATATAGAAGTAAACAATGTCTAGTGCCTACCCTCAAAAGTTCAGTTTAGGAAAAGAAACTAGTAAATAGGCAGACAAACACACTATAGTGCTGACACAAAATAAAGCACAGAATATCAAGCAGCAAAAATGAAATGCCTAATTTGAAATTTTGTATTTTCTGCGCCTTATTTTTTTCTTCCAGTATAATTGGCCATCTCTATTTATATTTCACAGCACACTACAGAACTACAATTTAAATTCCAATTTCCTTTCAAACAGTGGTTCTTAACCAGATATAGTATTGACTGGCATGGCGACCCTACATGGAGAGTCTAAAAAAGGTAAACTTACCCAGAATCTAATGCCTGAATGGTCAGATCTGAAAGGAGTTAAGGCAGGTATGTGTTTTAGAATCTCTAAGTGATGACTACTTGAAAGTCAAACTAGCTTTGGCCAGTGAATTAAAGAAATGCAGGTATAAGACAAGAATCGTTTACTAAAATTAAAACATTATCTGTTGAGAGGAAATAAGATGGTGGCATAGGTAACAGCTCCACCCGCCACCTCCCACAACCAAATTAAAATTAAAACTAAAATACAGAACCACCATCACTCAGAGCCTCCTGAAATCTGGCTGAACAGAAACCCTACAACTAGGGAACTGAAGAAGCACCAACACCGGTAGGAGGGGCAGAGATGCAAGTGGATCAGGGCTGAATTGCAGAGAAGCAGACCCGGGCCCATACCCGGTGCCACGGTTGAAACCCAGGAGGGACATCTCAGTGGTGGGGATTTCCCGGAGGAGTGAGGGGTCCCAGCCCCACAGCAAGCCCCCAGTCCAGGGCTCCAGGGCAGGGAAGAAACGTCCCCACAACTCCAGGCTGTGAAACCAGCGGGGACTGTGGCCGAGTGTCAGAGCTGCGGGAACCCCAATAGCTCCTCTTAAAGGGCTCACCCAGATGTGTTCACTCTGAGCCCAGCTGCCTGAAGCTGGGGTGAGAGGTGAAAGGGCAGCTTTCTCCCAGGCAGAAGAGCTGGCATAGGCATGGCTCCTTTGGCCAGTCCTCTCCGCACACAGACGGAAGGCAGGTGCCATATTTGAATTGCCAGCACCTGACTCACACCTTTGGCTCCACCCTGGTGATTCCCAGAGGCCACGCACCTCCCTACTTGCAGGCTCATCCAGGCCATTTCCAGTGGCTTTTCTGTGCAAGTGGCCTCTCGAGCCTCATGTTTAGGACTTTCCTAAAATCTCTCAAACAAGCAGCAGCATGCCCCAAACGGCTTGATAAGTGGCCCCAGGCCTGGCACTAGCAGCAGGGTGCATTGGCTCACAGCTTGGCCTCTCCTGGACACCTCCAAGCCCAGAACAAGTAGCAGCCATCTACAGTTTCCCGCGAAGCTCATGCTGGGTGGCCCTGGACAAGGCACTGGCACAGGCTGACTTTGCACCTCCCAGGAGGCCTCAGAGACAGTGCACCTGGTGGTCAGACCACGCTGGATTACAACCCTACCACATCCACGAGTGACACACTCAAGGGGTGCACTTAGTGAACACAAAAGCTCCACTGAAGTAAATCCTGCTCCATAGAGGTGTCTCCAGCACAGCAGCTCTCTGCCATAGTTGCAGCTGATCCTCACAGCTGATTAGTCTGGGGGTCAATTCCTCCCAGTGACGCCAACAACAACCAAGGCTCAACTACAAAAGGACAGTGCACACAGTCACACAGGGGAGCACCTAGAAGGCCCAGCTCAGGCTGAGCTACTAGACCCTCCAGGACACCTACTACACAAAGTTACTCTACAAATTCCAGGAGACATGGCACCTCTACCTAATACACAGAAACAAACACCTGGAAGCAACCAAAATGTGTAGGCAAAGAACCATGTCACAAAGGAAAGAACAGAAGAAATATCTAGAAAAGGAACTAAATGAAATAGATCCAAGAAAGCTAACAGATACAGAGTTCAGAATAATGGTTATAAGGATGCTCAAGGATATTAATAAGNCAGGGAGTGGCCAGAAATAGTCAAAGTGATGAAAAACATGGAACTACAACCAAGATTACTCTACCCAGCAAAGCTATCATTTAAGGTCAGAATTGAAGGTCAGATAAAGAGCTTCTCAGACAAGGAAAAGCTACAAAAGTTCATCACCACCAAACCAGCACTACAGGAAAAGTTGAAGGGTCTTCTTTAAGAAGCTAATGAACAAAAGAATCTGATGAACTAAACAGATCCAGAGACATTGACGCATGTAACAGATGATTATATTTCAGAAGAAAGAGGGAAGGGGAGTGGAGGGTGGGAAGAGATTAACCAAAGAAATTATATGCATAACCCATGGACACAGACAATGATGGGGTGAAGGCCTGGGGAGGGAGTGGGAACAAGGTGGAGGGGGTCACTTGGGGGGGAAAAATGGGACACCTGTAATACTTTCAACAATAAAGATAAATTAAAAAACCCCACAAAACACAAAAACATTATCTGTCTTTTCTATTAATTGCTATAAACATGTACAAAAGAAAAAATAAAAGATAAACACTTTGGATACAAACTTAACCAAAGCTTAAGTCCTTCGTATTTATGTATGCCCTAAAGAGTATCTTGCCTGGCCAACACAGCTCAGCAGTTGAGCATCGACCTATAATATAGGAGACTGTGGTTCGATTCCTGGTCACGGCACATGCCCAGGCTGCAGGCTTGGTCCCTAGCAGCAGGAGTGCAGGAGGCAGCCGATTGACTACTCTCAATGGTCAATCGGCCGATGTTTCTCTCTCCCCCTCTCCCTTCCTCTCAGAAATCAATAAAAAATATATTTTTTTAAAAAAGGCATATCTTAGTATTCATACTATGACCTGTCACCAAAAACTTAACTTTGTTATCACATTAGTCTAGACTGAATACTTTGAGTTGGTGGCCTGAATATCTATTATTGTTAACTAATACTGTTAGAAAGACCATATGGTATTGCTGAAACTAGTGAAAAAGTTTGTTTCTTCACCAGAAAAAGCCATAATCTGAGGAAAATATTAAACATCCTAAGAACCAACACAGATTTTAAAATAAGAAAGGTATAATTTAAAACATTAAAAAATAAAAATATAACTTAATATTTTAAAATTGAACATACCTGTGACTGTACAAACATCAAACTATATTTACCATGGCACACAAAACATGATTATATTAATTGTTAGTTTTAGAAATAAACAGGAAAGCTGTGATAAAGAGTAACTGCAGTTTAAAGTCTATTACATAATGAGCACTATGATATATGCCAGAGGTGCTCAAAGATTCTTGTCCTATCACCAAATGCAGTTCAAAAAAAATCTGATGAAAACTACAATACTCGGAGAGAGAAAAACAGTATCTGGTATCAAGGTATTAAAACAGACAAAACCCAGAATTTATAATTAAAATTTACCTCATTGTCCTGCTTTTCATCACTGTACATATCATCATCTAAATCACTACCTGTGCCTTCAATTGCAAGAATACTGTTCCTGATGGAAGGAATCATATATAGCTGCTGGATCACAGAATTCATGTAACAAGTAGCGCCAGCATTTTTTAGTCCCACAAATCCTTTTGGTGGGCGAGGGCCAACAGGTGGTAGATATTCCCACTCAGTAAGAGCTTCACAAGCTGAGAGAAAAAGAAAAAAGATTCTCAGAACATGAACATGGCAGCGGTTAAGGTGACAAATATTAGCAACAACACCATAACCACTTCAGACACCATGAAAAAAGAACTCTACATTTTTATTTCAACGTGTGCCACTGTAGTACAGAACTATTTGATCAGTCTGTATTTTTATTGATTTTGCTTCCATGACAATCTTCATGAACTCATATAGGTGGTATAGCATTAAATTTCTTTGTCATCATAGGTTTGCTTTAGTTATTTAATTAGGTGCCTTCAATTCATTGGGGTAAGAACTTCAAGTAAATCAAAATGTTACATCTGCATCCAGAGGTAACAACTGTGTGGCTCAGTGGTTGAGCATCAACCTATGATCCACATCAAGGTCTGACTCCCAGTCAGGGCATATGCCCCGGCTGTGGGCTCAATCCCCAGTAGGGGGCATGCAGGAGGCAGCTGATCAATGACATCACTGATGTATCTATCTCCCTCTCCCAGGGATCAATAAAAATACAGTAAAAAAAAAAAAAAAAAAAA